CCCAGACGTTTGGGGCCCCCCACCATTGCTGCTACCATCCTTGGGTTGAGCCTGCCTGCAACGCTGTCTCCGGGGGGCTACCCGCCCCACTGCAGTGGACAACCCCTTTGCTGCTGTCCCAGACCCAGGACCTGCCGACATTGTCACCGCCACCGCCAGCCCAGCTTCGCCAGGTGGGGTCTCCGTCGGCCACAGGGCGGGGGTAGGAAGCAACCCAGGGCAAGGGGCAGGGAACCCCTCAGTGGGCTCGGCGCGTTTCAGGAAGAACTCCCTGCCGAGCCGGTGGTGGGAACCACCCACCACTATTAAGGCCTTGGGTTGGGGTTCGGTGAAGAGGGAGGGCCCGGACTCTCCTACTCCATCCCCTCAGGGCGTGGACTAGGCCTCAGGGCCTGCTTTGACAGCAGACCAGGCCTCAGGGCCTGCAAATTGTGCTGAACTTGGCCTCAGGGCCTGTTTTAACCTTGTGGAGAAAAGGGCGGGGCTGGGGACCCCGCCACACTCCACCACAACTGAGTGCAACAAAACGATTACCTCCAATGTTTTACATGCTATACTCCTGTTAATACAGCTGAAAATATTTGCTTTTAGCAGTCATCACATTGTGACTTATATTCAATTTGCGATGCAAACAGCTACAGCCTTTTTTATGCAATATTTATTACCCTCTATCTGGTTCCCATGTTGTATTTGATTTTCTTTCCTAAGTGGAGTCCATTAATCTTGTCTTTACTGAATTACATTTTGTTAATTTCAGACTAATTGTACAATCCCCTTTTAGTCACCCACAGTGCTTCCAGTGCTGCCAGTGCAACTGGAGAACACTTAGGAGAGTGAGAAGTTTAAGTCCTGTACCCTAGCTTCTCCATCTGTTTTGTACAAGATTGGATATAGAGCCACAGACAACAAATACATTCTGATGAGCTCTCATGTGCCCCTCCATGTCTCCATTACATTTGTGTCCCTGGAAACCAATTCTTCTCAAGCTTCAACCTTCTTTGGTGGTTTTCTTCCCAACTCATGGCTTCTACAGTAGCTTTCCTGCAGCTTACAATATTTACTATAACCCCTCATGATCTATCATCAGTATGTGTAATGTACAAAGGTGCAGCAAACAGAAAAACACTCTGGGAAACTGAAGAGAGCTGCAACAGAATTTTATGGATGACTCCAAAGATTGCAGGTGCCTGTATCACCCATTTCTCTTTTTTAAGTTGCCACAATTAGTTGCTTTAAGTTGTTAAATAACATTATTAAATGAGCTCTTTCTTGTATCCTTCCTTTCTCGTATCCTTCACTCTGTTTTTCTGCAAATATCTCTGCAATCTTTTTCCATGTTAGATCCTCCGCAGTATGTCTTGACTCCACATCTGTCCTTATTCGCCTTCCCAAATTGATTCCTTATGTTGTACCCTTCTTCTTTACTGCGTATGCTTCCATTCTCTCCTTCCTTTGCCCTTTATCCTCACGCTCCCCCCCCACCCTCTCCCAGCCAAAATATCTTTTATATACATAGTGATAGAAATATAGCCGTGTTAGTCTGGTGTAGCTGAAACAAAATACAGGACTGTGTAGCACTTTAAAGACTAACAAGATGGTTTATTAGATGATGAGCTTTCGTGGGCCAGACCCACTTCCTCAGATCAAATAGTGGAAGAAAATAGTCACAACCATATATACCAAAGGCCCTAATTACATGCATCCTACTCCAGAAGACTTTCAAATCTGCACTTGAAAGGGAATCCTCTGAAC